CATCCATCCATCCATCTTTTTACGCTTAGATGCAAGGACCATGAAGTATAATACCGTAACACATTTCATATCTACACAGATCTCTGTGATTGAAATATAGCAACAATTGACATTATGACGACTGCAATATGTTATATTATTCAAATCTAGTTCACAGAGGATAATTTTCGATCTAGTTTATAATAAAGATAATAAAACATGGATGGAAAATAGTTCCTCCCTCTTTTGTTTTGACAATTCTTTATTGTAATTTCAGTTGAAAAGAGATTGGAATCTGTACAAGTCATCAAACTCACCCTGCAGTACTCGTTGATGGGCCTTAGTCTCTTCATGGCCACATCTCTGATATGGCTTCTCCTGAACAAAATCTTTCCTAAAGAAAAACATGAAAAAAAGCATGTCAAGCTTAATCTCTTTCAGCTATTAATACAAACGGTGTACGTTTATGGACCACATTAATTTCACTGCTAAATATCTGCATTTAATTAGATAATATTTATGAAAGAACAGTTTGTTAAACTTTTAAGCCACTAAAGGATACAAAGAAAGAGCAAAAATGGATCAAAAACAAAACAAGACAGACAAAACAGTTTGAAGAAGCAATCCAGACAATTCATCAATGGATCTGACGGCACAATAAGATGCAGAACACAATCATGTGAATAGCTGACCTTTCTGAGAGATCAATCAATTATTTGAAGAGGACAGCTTATGTACTGTATGCATGAAAGTTTAAGGTTTTCTTTCCAAGTTTTGCAAAAACACATTGGGTCACCATAAGGAAATTCAAATATCGCTACAAATTACTAAAAAAAAACCCTGACATGAAAATACTGCCCAACTGAGGGAGTTTCAATCTGCTTCTCCATATTTTTTCCCCTTCAGTGTGAAGAAAATTTGCCAGTAAAGTGGCACAGTCAGTTTTAAGCAGGGCACAAGAAAAGTAAAGGTCAAGAAAGCTCCATGACAATACAATTTAATTGGGACATGGATTTTAGAATATTTCAAATTCATATTCAAGTGTTTAAAGAAAAAAAAAGTACAGAGGGAGTTACCAACTTCAGCTGCTTAAATCTGACGCTTAAGTGACTAAAGTTCTAGATTTTCATGTCTTTTTTCTTGTATGTTTTTTTTTTTTTTCTAAAAACAGAGAAAAAAGAGATGCTTGTCCTTTGAATTCTAAAGACAATAAAACAGACTGCATATAGGGTTGAAACTAGTTATTCAAAACCTATTTAGTTATTATGTGTGCCTACACAGAAAAAAATTTAAAAAAATAAGAGGATCTTCAATAAATAAGGTTCTAGCTCCTGGCATGATGTACAGAAATAAAAAACAATGTGGTGTCATCTCCTGGCAGTTGACACCAGCAGAATCCAATTTTTGTCTTCAGCTCCCACTTTATGCATTCCGCATTGATTAATACTGTATGTTGCTGTTTTGTATTTGTAGTTCTATATCAGTTGGTTGTGCTTTTCTTTTAACATCACTTTTTGCAAGTGTTGAAGCAGACTGATGAAGGTTTGTCAATTGATCTCATCTGTCTCCTCTTTCTTTCACTTTTTCTCCCTTTTTATTTCTCTCCTCCTCTACTTTTTCAATGTAGTGTCCACATAACATGAATTATTTCCTATGTAAATCATAACAAAACTGTTTAGGTACATAAATCAAACAGAGCACTATAGTGAAAAGTGATCATTCTCCACTTGTGAGAGTAAAATTTGTTGGGCTCGTTTTTCTATAAAGTGCCAAAAAGAGCAACAAATTTCCAGACAGGACACTGAAAAAAAAAAAAACTACTTAAACAACTTACTTTAATAAAGCCTGAACATCCTGCAATGTCTCATCGTAAAGCAACAACTCAGCGTGGTCGAAGACCAACCCATATTGATTCAGTAAATTTATCTACAGGAGCTCTAAATTCTGGTGAATCCTCCCCAGATCCTCCTATCAGAACATCAAGGAATAAGAAAGTTTCTCTTTCTAACAAATGTAAACAGGGACACTGCATCAAGGTAAGAACCAATAATTCTATCATGCTTTTTATGTTGTTTATAATTGGACTGTAGAAATAGCATTTGAAAAGCATTGCTATCAAAAGTATCAGTATTGATAAGGAAGTTGGCTCACGCATCCATCTACTCTGTAGCCACATCTTATTGCCTCGCCAGCTTGAGCTCTTTCTTAAGTGAACAAAAACATTTACAATGTATTTCGACCACTATTCGAGTTGTATTCCTCTTGGAATCATTTTTTTTTTTGCCCATTTGACTTTTTGAACATGTATATCTCCCTGATTTATCTTCATATTTGATCCAAATTTTGAGGGTCTACCCATAGCCTGTGAACAACAAGCTTGGATGTTCATTTGGTGACATCACTTTACTGAGATTAGGAAGTGACCACAGCCTCCCTCACAAAAGTAAGATTTTTGCTAGATTTTGTCTCTTATCTGGAGTTTACCACTTCCTGACTAAAGCTGAGGTTGTCCCCTACTCGTCTAGTGGTGAAGTGTGGAAGTTGTTGGCTAGCTGGGAAGATGCACAGTAGCGACAGTGCGTGGGACCCATGCTTAAAATAGGCCTCGCGGCGCAAAGCTGTGAGGGCCGTCCAACCCCGCATGCGATTTTTTATGTTTTTGCATTTTTCGACACTGGATATTAGAATCTTCTTAATTATGTTAAGATACTTCATTGTTTACGCCTGGGTATATGCTAAGTATTGTACTACCTTTGTTATTGTAAATTTACACATATATTTTTATTTACTAACAAGTCAATTTTGAGCAAAGCATAAAATACAAAAAATAACAAATAAAACACTTAGGGCCGGATTTATCAAGATCCAATTTTGC